GGGGGCCTGCCGCTGCCACAGCTGGCTTGGGTCACCGCAGGACACCAAGGAGGCTCTCAAAGTAGCTGTGCTCTGTCCGCACTGACTGGAAGCCAAAAAATTGTCAGGTTTTAGGGTGAAAAAGTCCTGCTGGGCATCCTGACTTTCTGTGTGCATCACCTGAGCTTGCAAACCCTACAGCGCAGTGGCTTGCTTGCCTGATTCCCTCCTACCCCGCGAATCTCAGGTGGGTGCTAAGCCCAAAATCTAAATGGGCTTTGCACACCTGCTTTACAAGACCTATTATACGTTTAAAAAACCTCCTAAGCAACAGTATGTATCTTTTGTAAATTATTTTTAAAATGTCCCCTTCCTTAGAAGAGCTGTCAACGTGACAGGTGAAGACAGGCATTTATGTTACGACTGGGTTGCCATATCCTTTTAAAATGGAGTCCCCAAATTCTTTACATTCGGTTATCTTTATCACAACCTTAACGGACAACAGGGAACCAGTAGGTACTAAATATGATCTAACAAGCCTCCGTTTCAAGAGTTTTTCAAAGTAACCGACACAAGTGCAGAGGGAGGGAGATAAGCATTATCCGCATTTACAGCCATATTTACATCCATATCCATATTTACATATTTATTTACAGGTTTATGGTCTGAAAAGCAAAGACCACTGTAAAACTTGCATTAAATACCTTATGACCTTAAAAAGACAGTTCTTCCCCGCCACTTACTTCTCCAGCTCTAGCTGCGTCTTGAGCTTCTTCTTTGCTCCCATGGTGAGGGATTCAAACTTATTCAGATCTTCCTCAGTAAGACTCAGAAACTTGTAAAGAAAAAAGTGTGTGCTTAGTTTTACAGCCTGAAATATTCTTATCTACATTTTCAGTAAAGATCAATTCTGAAAGGCAACCTCAAAGCCCTTTTTTTAAACATATGTTAATTCAAAGTAACTCTCTACTCCAGTTTTAAATTATAGAATCAGTGTAGAATAAAAGTGTGGGGGATTGAATGAAAGAAAGAACATCCGTAGATTAAATTTAATTAGACGTGTGCTTACATTAACTATTCACAATAAAGATGAAGCAATCTGTGTACATTTTAAAAAAGATCTTTGTGCTATAAACGAGTTTAAGGATCTGGTTCTCTTAAAAAAAATCACTCTAGTTTTCCTAGTTGTGTCATTTAACCCAGAAATCAACGTGCAGTCATCTCATCAGTTTAATTGGAACATATACTCCAAAATTAAATTTTGTAATAAAATACAGACATAGAATATGAAAATAAAATAGATGCATTTATAATATAATGTAATGAATATGAAAGCCAGCAAAGTATGCAGAATAATACATTTTTTTTAAAAACACAGTAGAACATGCACAGTTTTGCTACTTTATTAAAGAAAAAACCACTATTTCCCCCCACATAACGAAGACAATAAAACCAGAAGACTCTGGTAACAGATGATAGTTAAATACATACAACATACTACAGCCAGCACAAAGCCATCCCAATTTAGGCCTGGCTGAACCTAAGCACTGAGTCCACTGGAGGGCGTTCAAGGCTAAAAGACAGTAAGCAGACATGAATTTTACAGACGGAGCTGGGTAAATGCTGTAGAAGTGTTCTATTTAGATAAAACCCAGCACACATCGGTATCATTCGTGACTCTTACCATGCAAATACATAAGCAGTTATTTTTCCACAAGAATTTTTGCAGAAAACAAAAACCTCACATTCCCTTGCAGATACGTGCACACGCTAATGCTTATGTCAGAAGCCCCTGTGAATCTGTTTTTTAGAAGAAGGATAACCAAATATTTTGGGAGAAAAATCGATCAAGAAGCAGAAATTTTAAAAAATCTACAAATTTTAGTTATCTACTGCACATCGAAGGGATGATGGGGGAGCCAAAGCAGAGCCCCTAGGCCAGCCTGCAAGTTGGATCTTCAATCATTCGGTGAAGAATTCCGAAACAGGCGGCAGCTGTCGAACAGCCCAAGGCCCGGACACAACACAGATGGAAAATCGGAAGAAGGTTTTCATCAAAATATTATTGCTTCAAGAGAGTGCAAACCTTCACAGCATTTGCCAATAACTTCTGCGATTCTCAGCGCGGAAGCTTGCAGCCTCTCTCTCCGCACTAGAGAATATAAGGGTAATTTAAAAGCCGGCTCCCTTTTCTTAATCTACTGCCCTACCTTCTCCATCGTGAGCTGTTTGAAGACAGGATAGTATTTGTGCAACCGCAGTTTCCTGAGCCAGTCTAAGATCCCGTTTTGCTCCTGTGTCTGAGGGGTCTGTGGGCTGGAAGACATGAGCATGGGCGAAGAAGAGGCGTCCATCTGGGTGCGATAGGCCAGCGAGGAGCCAGTACCTCCTGCGTGGGAACAGTGGGGTAGTGCAACGGGAGCAGCGGCCGAGTGCTGAACGTGATTCTGAGAAGACTGAATGCCAGCCACTCCGCATATAGGTCTGCAAAATAGTAACGTGATTCGATTTAGCCCATTGAATCTGTGTCACCCGGAGTTCAGCTACTACGGCCGTACAAATCTACCACTTCCAGGATTTCTGGTAAAACCTGCACTCTTTGATCCAAGTTACAGATTTGGACCTACGCCGTTCAAGAGCACAATAAAAACAGTGCAGTTGATGGCAAAGAGAAAGCCTTATCTTCAGCTTAAGCGGAGGTTTCCTTCTATAATCACAGATAATATATGCTCTGCCGCCTCTCTGTGATTTAAAAAAGGTTTAGAGCGAATGGCCGTGGTTCAGCTTTGCATTATTAAAAAGAAGAAAAGAAGCCCAAATATCCTGTGGAAATTTTTTTGACGTGTGGAAGTGGCAAAATAACCCACAATATTGGCTCCTTGGAGGGTTCTGGTTTTTGTTAGGAAAAAAAAGCAAATTGCCTCTTAAGAGAATGAGTTCTGAGTTTTTTAAATCCTAACAAAAGGCAAGAGAATTTCTTTCCTTCTTTTCCCAAGGCTGAGTTGTACCTCCCTTGGAAGAGGCTTCCTTCCTCCCTCTGAAAGGAAAACCCCTTTGAATGAAAACATTCAAATATGCTGTAGAGAGAAAAAACCCTTTCAGAGATGCTCCAGGCTCCCTTCGCCCACAAAGACTGACACTAGGGACGCCCAGATCCACGCCTACAATTCGAATGATCATTATTCCTTTTAAGTATGTGATTGAGACCACTACGACTTACGCAGTAAGCAGCGGATCACAAAGAAATCATCCATCACCACAGCTCAACATCCAAGTGTCGATGCCAATTAGTAGTTATGGCTTTAAACATTTTGAGAAACGCTGCTTAGAACGGGTGTTCGTAGGTTTTACGGCCAGCAGGAACGCTGCAATTGTCTGATCTCACCTCCCATGCAACGCCGGTCAAAAGCTTTCCCTAAATTCTTCCCTGAACATACACATTTCTTAGGACAAGAGAGCCGCTGCTGATTTCATAACCGCCCATGACGAGAGATTCTGTCATAGTGCCAGAAAGCTTGGTCCAATGGTAATTACATTTTATATGCTTGAATTTTGAAGCTGGAGTTGAATTCTATCTTCCATTTCCAGTAATTATATCACGTTCTATTTTGACTTGCAAGTTGTCCGTTACCTAAGTTTCGTTGTCTTTGCGATCAACTCATTGCAAAACTTTTCTTCAAGCGGTTACCCACACTCAGCTCCTGCAGTTATTATTCTGAGATGTGTTTCCTTAAGGCATTTAAAGAACGAACAAATGACAGCACTAGGAATGCTAGCACCTTACACCGCTGTTCTCACCATTTGTCTGGTTTGGGCAGACCACACGTTAAAGGCTAGAATTTCTTAAAATTTTCTACAGATGAATATGAAAATGTAGACTCAAATAAATCCCCAAGGGGAGACAGATAATTACCTACGTAATGGGGTTTTACAACTAACCAGAACAAAGTAAACAAAATAAACCGTTCACCTTCCAGATGCTCCCAGCGTCGTTCCTACTTTATAAAGGGAGGGGTTGCCAGGACCTAAAAACAGGGAACAGAAGTTACAAATGGCATCAGGTTATGAAACGTACCTCAGTACTAAAAATTCATTTTTAAACGTTATTTAAACTTACTTGAACTCTGAAGTTGCTGTGAAGGAGATGAAGTGCTGAAGAACTTTCTAACGTGGTCATTTTTCACCACATGGGAAGGTAATGGTGCCAAATACCTGCATGTTCATCAAAAGCAAACAACCCCCCCCATTCTGTTATATTTGGTTTGCAGCTGCCGATGCAATCATGACTGCAGACTGTACATGAAATTTTGAAATTGCATTTGAAATTTTGAAAGTAGAACATAAAGGACCTTTCAAATTAATAACACCACGCAAATCTGATTCAAAGTAGACTTGAAACGTACGGATATTCTTATCCTTAATACTACTCGAACACATTACCGTTGCGTTGCTTTCACTCTGTTTAGTGTTTCACTCAAGATGCTTAATTTAGGAACACTGAACACTTGTAAGGCAGATAACGTTCAAATACAAACTTGAAAATTTCCTTTCAAATTCATGAACTTGAAGACCATAAAATAGAGAGATATCTGTTATTTCATTTTTTTCCTCTTCGAGATAAACAGCAGATGCAGAGTCTGGCAGTGCAGGGAAAAAGGCTGTAAAACTTATGTCACATTTTCCCTGGGGTTCCTGTGCCTCTTTGGGGGGAAAAAACAGCATCTCCTAAAACTTTGCAATGTATAAAGTGTGTTCTACCACCGTCACTTCTTCTTGTTATGCAAACTTGACTGCCTTTTGCCAGATCTTCTACAGATTTGAAAAGGTATAAAAACTTGTTAAAAAAGAGAGCATTTTGACCATATCTTTCTATTTGTCATTTTAAAAAAGTCTTTTGAGTAAAAAATAATTCAACTATACACACGCTCCAATGTGCTCTCCACCTTGAAAAATCACGGTTCATTTCTGAATTTTTCAACTACGTAGCACTTAACAAAACAGCTTCTTTCTCTGCTCCAAAGATACAACCGTTGCTGCGTAAACACAGATTGCTGTTCTATTAACCCAGATTTGTAGAGACTGTTGCTAGCTAAACAGCAGCAACACGCATCCTCTCTCACCCTACCTAATTCTCATCAATAGGCTGTGATCCTCAAAGCACAGAAAGGACTGTTTGAAATGCTAACGCTCTTTGCCGTGAAAAATAATTGAGGCGTGCACCTGCTGGCTCGGACTATGGAAAAACAATATCCACTGCGGCTCTGCCAATGATGGACAAGAATCTGCCTTCGCTTAGGGAAAAGAGGCGTTTAGCAGAAGCTCTAACAGAAGTTAATTACTATTTAAAAAATGTCATTTAATACTTTGCATAGATAAAGACGGTAGTAGCTGAAAATACTTTTAGTCCCTCAAGTTTTCCTGGCAAAACCGTTGCAGTATTTAGAAAGAGAGAACTGATGTGACCCGCCACAGATGATGATTTTTAAAATGGTGTTTTAGATTAGAATGCCAGGTGATTTGTGATAACGTGAGGAGGTACTATCTAAGGCTTCAAAAATTTCTTAGCTGTTAACGGTTTCCAAAAATTTAATGGCTATAATATGTACATACATACCTACCTTTTTAAAATTAAAGTAAAATAAACACCATGACAACCTAAACCAACTGAGACAATAAAAACCTCTGTGAAAGGGTAGGGGGGAAAAAAATCCCCACAACCCAATACAGAAGGATAACTATTTTTTCTGAGTTTTGGGTTTGTTCTTTTTTTTAAGCAGTTTTGGCTATTGTTTGAGCCCAAACCAAGCTTCTGCAAAGCCAATGATCCTCTATTTGTTTTTAACAAGGAATGAGGAAATGTCAATTCTCCAGGAAGCTTCATACAGAATATTATTACCACATGTATTTCTGAAGAAAGAATTTCTGAAAAATTCTTATGCACTGGAATTAGGAGAACATCAAGAAATAATGCTTAGGATCAGGCTCTAATTTCTTGAAAGTAATTTAGAATATGAACATAATATTTCTATTTCCTGCTTCTTTCTTCCACTTGGTGAAAAAAGCCAAGTGTCAAGAGAAAAAAAAACCACCACAACAAAAAACCCAGCATACCTAAGGTCCGATTCCAGGTCCATGTGGTTCCGTTCTAGGTAAAACGAATCTGGACCAGCTAGGCAAGGAATGAATTTCTCCAAGTTTTCCTCTGGATACAGCTGAGATAGCTAACGGTGGAGGATATGACAAACAATAAGTGAAAAGAAGACTTGTTACTCATATGAGATTCAAGGCACAGCAATTTGTAAGTCAAGCATTTTATGAAATTCAATCTGTCCGCATTATCTCAGTACATTTTGAAAAATGTCATTGAACAAAATTACAGAGAGGGACAAAACATCCCTCCGTTTGTGAAGTATTTTTCGTATCGCCTTTACCTTTGAAATAAATTCAGTCACTTCAGCGGAAGATTTGGTTACCAACGTCACTGAAGAATCAGACCACAGGACCTTAAGAAGTAAAAAGCATATTCCGTTTAGTAACTAATAGTCAGGGATTTAACTTTGGTATGAAATGTCCCCCCCAGACTGCAAGAAAGTTTGTAAGGTGTGACATCAATAAGGAACAACCTTTTCTGTGCACAAGTAACTATTACTCAGTCCTCCCTCGCTGCCCGATTCTTGCCGTTACTATGCTTAACAACTATTCCGAATGCTTAAAAAAGCACTTCATAGTTTACACAGCCACTGCACACTGCAGACATCCAGTATTAAGGAACAGACTACTAAGTAATGGAAATTTTTTTTTTCTTATTATTGTTAAAGAAAACAGCTGGTTTGTAAAATCTCATGTACAACATGAACAACTCGCCACAGCACAAGAGTCCCTATTTATAATTAATCAACTCCATATGCCGTGCAAAGTTGGAGATGGCAGCAAATCGCCCTGCTGCAAAAAAAGGCGAAACCTTAGAAATGAAACCTGCGGTTACTGCTCTAGCTGCGCTCCACCATCTTGTATATGCCCTAGAAAAAGGAAATAGTTCAGTATCTCTTCCCATACGCTTTCTGCATTAAGTCATTACATTCTTAGCTAGAGAGGCATTTGTTGGTTGGTAGATGATTAGTTTAACTGAGCCAAAAGTCAGGATTTCTTGGCACGAAGAATATCAGCGTGAGACTGGCCAACGATAAGTCCCTTTGGCCTTAAGGCATCTATTCGAGGCGACTGGAAGGCATACGGCTCTTCAGCAGTTCTACAGGGGAAGAAGCTGGGTTTATGTGTTTAAGAATCAGGAGGCCATCGTCTCACATGACGCTAGTTTCAATGACAACTGCAAACATACAACAAAGTTTTTCCAGCCACCAGAATGCTGCCAAAAAGACTGGTGAGAGGAGAGTATTTCAAAATATATTACATAATGGAGGAATTTCCTCTCTGCAGAGCTGTTACACAAAAAGG